TACTTCTCTACTCTCACAGGCTCTTACTCTAGGCCTCCTTAGAGCCTGTATTATGCTCATGTGTATATGAAACTTAAGAGAAGGATCCAGCATGTAGTTACTCCCAAATCTAACACTGGACTTCTCAAAGATAGATGGCCCCATTCATCTTTGAGGAATGCTCTTCTAATGCCCTGACTGTGCCAGTAAGACACAGGAGAGTTCAGAGGGGCAACACTACTACTCTTCTCATAAGGTTGCAGACACCCGACCTAAATATGCAGAATGTCTGGGCTGCTTCTCTGAATTCTGTAGGACCCACCTGCAAATGAAGAGATCTCCACAGACAGGCTGATGGACGAGCCCTAGCAAGTCAGTTATTTGTTCAAACTGAAAGACTATGAAAACTTGATTTTTAAATGACTAAATTCACTAACGATAATCACCTGTATTCTTATTTCCTAGGTCAAAGACAGAGGGGGAAATGGGAGAAGGACAAAAAAGAGGGCCACTGTTTCTATTCATGGTCAATAAATGTATCATGAGATACAGACCTAAACTACAAATTATTCTTTTTTTTTAAACAGAGTCTTGCTGCAACGCCCAGGCTAGAGTGTAAAGGTGCAATCTCAGCTTACTACAACCTCTGCTTTCTAGGTTCAATTCTCCCACCTCAGCCTCCTGAGTAGCTGGGATTATAGGCACATGGTATCATACCTGGCTAATTCTTGTTTTTTTTTTTTTTTTTTTTTTTTTTTTGAGACGGAGTTTCGCTCTTGTTACCCAGGCTGGAGTGCAATGGCATGGTCTCGGCTCACCGCAACCTCCGCCTCCTGGGTTCAGGCAATTCTCCTGCCTCAGCCTCCTGAGTAGCTGGGATTACAGGCATGCGTCACCATGCCCAGATAATTTTTTGTATTTTTAGTAGAGACGGGGTTTCACCATGTTGACCAGGATGGTCTCGATCTCTTGACCTCGTGATCCACCCACCTCGGCCTCCCAAAGTGCTGGGATTACAGGCTTGAGCCACCGCGCCCGGCCCTAATTCTTGTATTTTTAATAGAGACGGGTGTTTCACCATGTTGGCCAGGATGGTCTCAATTTCCTGATCTCGTGATCCACCCTCATCGGCCTCCCAAAGTGCTGGGATTACAGGTGTGAGCCACCATGTCCAGCCGGAATTAATCTTTAGTAGTAGAAGAAAACCTCATATTCTCTCTTATATTTCATTTTGAGCATCTAATTGCATATTCCCATTTTCGTTGTTTTTTTGTAAAATGCTTAAAAGTTAACTTACCTTTTCTGTGCCTTCTGAATAAATACTTTAATAAGTAGACAGGAGAATACTGGGTCCTTTACATATTACCTGACTTCTTATGCAGCTGTAGTCCAAGTTATTTTATGCATGTTACACTCAACTGCCTAGCTTGTGAATATATATTCACGTAAGAGAAAATTAATTTTATTTTCAAAAGTACAGGATTAACCGTTGTGCCAGCCTTTTAAATGATTCTGTAGCATCACTAACATCTCCCTTTTTCTAACAATGACGTCTTTATAACCACATAGTTTTCAAAGTCCTGTTCCCTTCTTCCCCCTACATCCAAAAATTCAAAATCGGATCAGACAACTGTCATTCTTCCATATTCAAAGGTATCTCAGAAGGCAGGAGTAGCTGGGTACACATGAAGGATGAAGGCTTGAGCCCACAGAGAGTTAAATTAATATCCTGGCTTGACTGGTTCAACTTACCGTACATCTTCATTTGCCCAGAAACACAATCTATAGCCAACTGCTAACCAAGTCAATATGTGGTAAGACTAACAGCCACCCTAACCTGCCTAGATAATTATTCTCCTTTAACTGACATAATATTCAATATACTGTTGTTGAGAGCAATACTGCTAAAATTGATGCCTTGAGGGCTACAAGACAATTGAGTTTTAGCCAGATAAAATGACTTGTACACTAATAGTGCATTATGGGGTTCCACAGCTTTTGGACACACATTTTATAGCCTACTTTTACAAAAATGCCATATACAATTATATTCAAAGTAACTTGTGCACACCTTATCATTACCACATACAATCTTTAAAATACTGGCTGATTACCAAATAATATTACTTTAGAAGAAAAGGGTTTTACTTTTACAGTCTCTGTCTTTTTCCTTAACAAAACAAGCATTTTCTCACTATGTAAGTGATAACGGTTTTGGTGTTCTGAAAACTTTTGCTTTTTTTCCCAAAACAAGAACTGTTTTCACAAAGAACAAGATTATAAATGCTGAATGACAAAAACCATCATTTAAATAAAATCATATTACATCAATTCTACCAATAAAGCAAGACAGAAACTAAACCTAGAATTACTCTAATGTAAAAATCATCTACAGTTTTCTCAAAATGTCAATGTTAGACTCTGAATGGAGAAACATTATATTAAATTTGAGACTGTCAAAATCTGTATTAAAATAATAAAAATTAATTATAATTTAAGTGTCACAATAAATGACAATGTTCTCTCTATGCAATATTTCATCCTAAAATAAGAGACTTTATAAATTTTAGTTCCTGGTTTTACTGAATTTTCCTCTCAAACTTAATTTTTCTTGCAATTTTGTATCTTTAAATCAAACCTGTCCAACCCACAGCCCCTTGGGCTGCATGTGGCACCAGATGGCTCTGAATGTGGTCCAACACAAATCTGTAAACTTCCTTAAAACAGTATGAGTTTTGTTTTTTTTTTTTGCTATATTTATTTTTTAGCTCATCAGCTATTGTTTGTGTTATATTTTATGCATGGCCCAAAACAATTCTTCTTCCAATGTGGCCCATCAAGCTAAAAGATTGGATACCTCTGCTAAATACTGGGTCCTCGTACAAAAAGAAATACAGAGTACATTTACATTTTTAATATTTGCATTAGAGATATGTTCAAATACTGAGGAAAAATTAACATCTAAGTAATTATTTCAAGTAAAATAAAAAACAATAGGACTGTATCACAGAAACATTATCAGGCTTTATATTTACTGCTATCAAAGGGCTACGTAAGCTGAATTGTTAAAATTGCAAATCAGCATAGCCCTGCACATACCTATTTTTCTGGACAGAAAGATGCAATCTATATGCTTGTGTCTCTGCATACGTATGCAGGTATAAATATCTTAGGCAACAAATACACGTGAAACTGAAAGATAATATTAATGACGGAAGTACAAGCAGCATAGTGGAGATAGTAAAGATGGTACAAGATTGGGCCAAAATACTTGCTGGTCTGTCATAAAGAAAAGACTGTTAGCCAAGCTAACAGTTCCATACAAACAACTGTAAGAGGTTTTTCTCTTTGTGTAGGGCAAAATCCATCCAAAACAGACATTAATAATCATGTTGTGGAAATGACTGTAAAAGGATGTAGCACTGCATGCATCTTGGGGCCAGTATAAGCAGGAATTGTGAAACCAGTTCCTTGATTTATTTTTCCTGGCTCCTTCCTCTTAGACCTTGTTCCCTCTCATGTCCCCTAACTATCCAGGACTTATCTTTCTACTTTACCCCACTGAAATATCCCCATCCAGAGGCAAATGAGATAATGCTTGTGAACATGCTCTCTAAACTGAAAACGTAATATATAATTGTTACTATTATCACCATCATCTCATCTTTTGAGGGCCAAATTTTCAAGTTGAGATTCTCACTAAATTTAGACGTCATTCTAGTCTGAGAGCAGACAGGTTATTCCACCTCCCTTGTCTTTCTTTACTTCTACTCACCACCCTTGCACTGCTCTCCTGTTCCAGCTAACAGCTGGAGGTATCACACAGGAAAATGACAAGAATTCATGTGTACTGATGCCAGGTTAAAAAGAGGGGGAGACTGAAGCTCCCTACTCTTCACATGTCAAGCTGGCAGCCAATGCCCGTCATGCAATACACAGTGCCTCAGGGAATAAACAGTAGCGACATCTCCAGCACTATACAAGGCTGGCACAGCCAAAACCAGTTGTTTTTGAAGGGGTCACATCTCCTGGTATTACCTTCATAGAAAATTTCAAAAATTGCTTCAGATTCTACCTTTTCAAATTGAGATCTCCTTCAGCAGGAGCAAGTATTTCTTCATTATCCAGTATAGCCCCTTTAGATCCTGCGGTCTCCCAAAATGCTGTTTTCAACATTGACCCCTCAACAATTGTAGAAAAAGAGAGAGCCATAAACATGTTTCAGAGGCAAAGTATACAATGCAAATGACACACGACATACTGCAAAAATGAGATGAAGAAAGGGAGGGATGGGAGATGGGGGTGCATGAAGGCTGTGGGCCTTCCAGAAAACTCTTAAGCCCTTACCAGGTCAGAAGTGCCATTGATACAAAGGAGACGCTCAAGGCTGGAAGAACAGGTTCTGCAAAGGCCAAATCTAAAACCAAGTCTGTGTGTTTCAGAATGCAGAAATCTGAAGCCTACGATATGACAGTTTACTGGTTCTGTTTATATGAATTCTGTTTATATGAATTACAGTTCTACCTTTGATTTGGAAGAAGAAACAATAAATAGTCACATGTGTACCTGCAGGTACACAAACAACAGAAAAACACCATACCTGCTGCAAACTGAGTATGGAAAAAAGCCCTAACGAACCGAAATGAAGGGTAATTTCAGATTTTCACACACCCATGACCCACATCAAAGAGCCCTCCTTTTTAACAGGGCTATAATAAGACTTGTTGGAGAAGCCAGGAAGCCCATGTTGTAGAGAGTTGAATTCAAAAAGGTGCACACAAAGGTAACTCGAGGCAAGAGGCCATGTTTTTCTTTTAATACACCCTGAGGCCCGATGGTGGCCTGCTTCCACTCTCTCCTTTTCCCTTCCCTGACAAGCCCACTGAAATGACTACTTTACCCAGAGGAGGGTGTGCAGCCCTTCCTGCAAGGGGCAGAAAGGAGACCAGGTTTGCCAAGGGCTCTAACCCTTCCCCACCCAGAGCGGGCCCCAGACACCAGTGTTCATGTCCTCCCCCTACCTGAAGGATGTATCCTCGGACATAGTCCCGCAGGGTCCAGCCAAGGCCGTGCAGTATGTGCAGCACCTCCTCCTGTTTCAGGACGCTGAAGAGGCGGTCCAGCAGGATCTTCAGCCTCACGGGCACTGCCTGCGTTCCGTAGAGCATCAGGCTGCTGATGTCAAACACGACGTTGGACTGTACAATCTCCACTTGCGTGGGGTGGTACAGGTGCTGCGTGCTGAGCTTATCCAAGGCTGCGGTGGTCCCGCCAAAGTTCCAGTGATGGAGGTGGGAATAAAGAGAGAGAACAGGAGTCAGAAACATCACTGTAAGTTACTAGGGCTCCATTTCTATAGATGAATGAATGTTCGCCACAGGTGTTTAAGCAAGATCTTGCAAAGAAAATAGTTATCTGACACCTCCTTTCTGTTTTGTCCTTTTTCTTTTCTATTTTGTAATTTGATGTGTTTATAAATTGCAGGCAACAACAAATACAAAACACATTTAACTTCAAGATAAAGAGCCACTGAGGATGTTTTAAATGACTGTGGCTGGTGCTAAAAACCTAATTAATTTGTTAACTGAACTATGGTTCGACTCAAGTTAACGATGGTGTCCTTTACCCCCTACCAAAACCAAAACCATTCCTAACTCATGCCATACAGGGAGGCTCAATCTATATCACTTTTATGAATAAGATTCACCCCTTATAATACATGAATGGTTAAAGAAGAGGAAGATGGTGTTCTTTAGACGATAGGAGTAAAAGACCTTATTTGGAGGGAATAAGGAAAGCTGACATCTGTGTGTAGGGCTAGTAATTTAACTCAAGTCCTGTTAGCTACAGGGGTTTACCCAAAAACCTAGTTTTCCTAATTTCTCTCATTAGTCACCTGTTAGATAGCTTTTGTGTTCACTGGCATGTTTTCTGAAAGTTATTCAGGATAAAAAGGAAAGAAAATTAAAGTCATAATTTTATAAAGAAGTTACTTCATTAATAGCTCTAAGGGTATAGACGAAAATGGAAACAAATGAGAAGCCAACATTTGGGAATTTCTGTTGTATTTCAGCTAACTGTATTATCTCAGTAGAATAAGCTGAGGATGACCATTCTCAGAGTAAACACTTTCAATAAAACAAAAATTTCAACAATTGGTTATTTTTTTTCTCCTCAAATTTAAGAAACACCATCTCTTAGCTAGAGATAAAAGCCAAAATAAGGTCCTAAATTCTAGTCCCCATCCATATCTGAGTTACTGTACACCCTATTGCTGATAATAGAATTACATTTTGCCTCTGTTTCTCAAACAATAACATTGTCTTATCTGCAGGGCTTAAAGAGATGCTGCAAAGATAAGTGAGATAAGGAGTAAGGGGCACTGTAAACTCCTTAAGAGAACATAAAAGGCATTCAGCACTGTCAGAATTATACACATATGCCCAGTGAGGAACTAAACAAGATGAACACGTAAGTCTGAAGGATGGTCATCTAACCTCATGAGTCGGGCAAATGGGTATCAGCCAACATCTAGGCTCAAGTCATAACTACACCTAAGTTATGTACCTAAGGCTTCCTCAAATTCTAAACCACTGTGTGGCCTTTCTCAGCTGCTTTTCCTAACACCTATCCCTAAACGTATGGGCTATACTACATGTGCATTCTCAGCAACTCCTATTTTACTACACCAGTATTACTGCATGATAATAGAAGAATTTACAAGTACGTGCACACAGATTTTTTAGTGTTTCACATGTATTTTTTCAGGGCTCCTCCTCCACTCTTATTTCCCCCTGACTTGTGGTCACTAGAGAGTTCATGTACTCCTGATAAATTGCTTTCTTACATCTACAGTGTAAAGGCCCTTATCATTTACCCGCTGGCTTCATTCAACACATTTACTCCCAGGAATACTTTGTCAAAGAGTTCGGATTTTCTCATACTTCATTTCTTGCAGCTGATTTGTCTGATCTTTCCTATTCTAGTGGTTAAGTCAACTTTGAATAAATAGCCTTAAAAATTAATTTAACGTTTGGGAAAGATAAGGGATTCACAAGCCTAGGGATTGAAGTTTTCTCTCACTCCACAGGGCATTTAGACGGCAAAAAAAGCAGAAATGGGATATTACTATCCCTGTTCTTCTTCAAGTACAGCTTAACTACTCAGCCTTCTGATGAGTGGCTGCTCTGCTTACAAAATCCAGTGACCAAAATGGGGGGATCTGCTGCTCCTCCACTTCCCTTCATCAGCTCTCCTCAACCATATAGGATAGTTCTTTACAAAACAGACTTCTATGACAACAGCCAATATAAAACTGACGGAAGTCAGCAGAAGGGAAATAAAATGACACAAAATCCTGATTTTTGTGTGTGTGCTTGGCACCTTGCATCTTTGCATTAAGTACATGCAGGTGTGTGTGCAAATACATTCAAATGCGAGGCGAAAAAAACTATAATCCCTCTCCCTCCCACTCATTAAAAAAGGTTCGTTGTTTTAAAAATGAAGAGGACTGAACTATTAAGGGTACAGAAGAAAAGAGAGAATCATCAGAGAATTAAAAGAGCACAGATAGTACAAAAATATTTCCCTAGATAAGCTTTCAAGAACATCAGAGATTGAGGATATTATAAGGACACTAGCTGATTCTTCGTAAGTATACTATATGTCAGTAAGTAGAAATACAGCTGGGCACGGTGGCTCACATCTGTAATCCCAGCACTTTGGGAGGCAAGATGGCAGACTGCCTAAGCCAGAAGTTCAAGACCAGCCTAGGCAATGTGGTGAAACCCTCCCTCTACAAAAAAATGCAAAAATTAGCTGGGCATGGTGGTACACACCTGGGGTCCCAGCAACTCAGGAGGCTGGGGTAAGAAGATCACCTGAGCCCAGGAGATCAAGGCTGTAGTGAGTCATGATTGTATTACTGCACTTCCAGCCTGGGTAACAGAGTGACCAAAAAATAGAAAAAAGAAGAAATACTGTTATAAACCACATAAATAGACAACAAAGGTCCACAACTTTATGTCTATAAGGGCCAGAGAGTAGGTATTTTAGGTTTGTGGGTTATGCACTCTCTTTCACACCTACTCATGCCTGCTGTTATAGCAGGAAAGCAGCCATACATAGATAAGACTTAAATGATTAGGTATGTTGGTGTTCCAATAAAACTTCACTTAGGCTTGTTGCAGTGGCTCACACCTGTAATCCCAGCACTTTGGGAGGTCAAGGCAGGAGAACTGCTTGAGCCCCAGAGTTTGAGATTAGCCTGCGCAACACAGTGAGACTCGTCTCTACAAAAAAAATTTAAAAATTAGTCAGGCATGGAAGCGCATACCTGTAGTTCCAGCTACTTGGAAGTCTGATGTGGAAGGATTGCTTGAGCCCTGGAGGTCAAGGCTGCAGTGCAGCAATGATTGCGTCACTGCACTTCAGCCTGGGTAGAAGAGTAAGACCCTGTCTTCAAAATCAAACAAACAAACAATTTACACAGACACCTCACCAGCTTTGCTTGATGAAAAGGTAGACCAGACATTTAATGGAAGTCAACAGTAGAGCACAAAAAAGCTCTAAGAATGTGATATAGGAAGCAGTTACCTGGGTGATGGGCCATAGACGAAGACTTAGAAACTATTAAACTGGGCCAGGCATGGTGGCTCACACCTGTAATCCCAGCACTCTGGGAGGCTGAGGCAGGCCCATCACTAGGGTCAAGAGATTGAGACCATCCTGGCCAACATGGTAAATTTTAGTAGAGATGGTGTATTTCTGTTTCTACTTAAAATACAAAAATCAGCTGAGTCTGCTGGAGCGCGCCTGTACTCCCAGCTACTCAGGAAGCTGAGGCAGGAGAAATGCTTGAACCCAGAAGGCAGAGGTTGCAGTGAACCGAGATGGGACCACTGCACTCCAGCCTGGCAACAGAGCAAGACTCCAACTCAAAACGAAAAAACAAACAATATATAATATATACATATAAGTTAAAACTGCCTAGCTTGCAAATTTCAGCATAAACGTATCACCATGATCTATCAAATTTCTTGAATATAACTAACTTTTCTGCTTTACAATTACTAGATCATATCAAGTCACCAAATTGTGACAACTTTTGGAGAAGTAGTACCCCTGAAACAATGATACCTGATGATTTTTTTATGAGTCATAGTATCTGTAAGTTGAGAACTGGACTGCTGCCTAATTTCATGATCTTCACGTATCTGACTGTGGAGGAGTCAGGTCTGGATCTTGTAGGGTTAGGAATATGAGTTAGGCCAATGGGACTGTGGAAAAAGTAGGGCAAGAACTTGTTGATCAGGATGGAGTGGGAAAAGATGTCACCTACTTTAATATTTTATGGCCTAAGCATCTGCTAATTTGTCCTATACCAATGGTATTGTCAAGATTCATTTACAGGCCAGGCACAGTCGCTTATTCTGTAATCCCAGCACTTTGGGAAGTCGAGGTGGGCAGATCACCTGAGGTCAGGAGTTTGAGACCAGCCTGGCCAACATGAGGAAACCATATCTCTACTAAAAAATACAAAAAGTAGCCAGGTATGGTGGCAGGTACCTGTAATCCAAGTACTCGGAAGGCTGAGGCAAGAGAATCACTTGAACTCAGAAGGCTGAAGTTTCAGTGAGCCAAGATCGAGCCACTGCATTCCAGCCTGGGAGACAGAGCGAGACTCCATCTCAGAAAAGAAAAGAAAAAAAATGAGATTCATTTTCAAACGAAATCTAACCAGAAGATGTGTATACAAAATATGTAAAAGTAAAGCTGTTCTAGGTGAAGCTGGAGTAATCATGATTTAGAGAAAGTCCAATCATTTATCACTCCCTTTTTCTCTTCAACTTGCTGAAGTAACTCAGTGGACTGAATTCTGGAAGTACAGTTTGAAAAGCCCTTTTCTCTATAGTAAGCTGGTATCAAATTTTTGTCTGATTTGTGTCCACTCTCCTTCATTCTGGTAATAGAAGCTACATTTCCTTTTGGGAACTTCTCCCTTATACTCAACACCAGTATTTCTTTCTTTCTTTCTTTTGAGACAGGTTCTAACTCTATGACCCAGCCTGGAGTGCAGTGGCATAATCACCACTCCCCACAGCCTCTACTTCCTGGGACTCAGTCTCCCAAGTAGCTAGGACTAGAGGTGTGTGCCACCACACCTAATTTTTCAGTTTTTTTTTTCTTTTTTTGGTAGGGATGGGGCTTTCCCATATTGCTCAGCTGGGTCTCAAACTCCTGGACTCAAGTGACCCT